TGAGTGATCCCAGAGAGAAAGGCAGAAGCTGCAATGTCTTTTATGACCTAGACTTGGAAGTAACACTCCATCATTCCATGTGTTAGAAACAAGTCAGACTACAGCCCACACTCAAGGCAAGAGGAATTAAGCTTTTTCAAGCAGAGGATTATCAAGGACTTTGTGGACATACTTCAAAACAACCACATTTTACTAAAATGCAGATTCAGATTGAGTAGGTCTGGGGAGAATACCAAAATTCTGCCTTTCTAACATGTACCCAGGTGATACCTCTGCTGTTGGCTTATGGACCACACTTTGAGTAGTGAGGGAATCAAAGACATGCAAAGAACTATAGCTCAGATTGCCTTTTTGGAACTATGCTGCTTGCAAGAATAATATCCTTTGTCATCCTGGCATCATCTTTGGATGGTGTCCAATTTTAAAATCACATTTCCCCTGAAAGGTCAGAGCAGTACAGTAGGAAAAGACAAGATTACCTTGTTAATACACAAGGACAAGCTGTAATGGAATTAAAAACAATCAAAGGGGTATTCGGAAAATCTCTCTGGCCTTGTTCTGGAAGCTTTCAGAAGCATAAAACATCAGCCATCAATTCTGAAGGGGAGGCTAAACAAACAGCAGCAAATCTGGGCTTTTGATAAGAATTGTACAGAATGCTTTCATAGCAGCACTAAGACTCCCAGCTGCAATACTTATAAACTTAGCTTTGATAGGGGAGAGTAAAAAATAGCACCAGAATCTCAGAAGATCAAGGCTTCTCCATGCTCTGCTGGCTTGAAGAGTGGTAAGCGAAAAAAATCATTGTCCCATTTGATAGCCTGGGTTGAAATTTGCATAAAAGTGTATATCCTATATTTTTCTTATTGCTATGGTTCACAGACCATAAAATTCATAATTTTAAAGTGTATTATTCAGTGGGTTTAGGTATACTCACAAGGTTGAGCAACCATCAACACTAATTCTAGAACATTTTTGTCACCCCACAGAAAAACCCATATCCATTAGTTGTCACTCCCCACTTTGCCCACTGCCCCCAGCCCCAGGTAACCACTAATCTACTTTCTGTCTCTGTGGATTTGCCTCTTCTGTACATGTCATATAAGTGGAATCATACAATATGTGACCTTCTGTGTTTGGCTTCTTTCACTTTGCATGATTTTTAAAAACTGTGGTACAATACATATAATGTGAAATTTGCCATTTTAACCATTTTTGAGTATAGTTCAGCGGCATTAAGTACATTCACATTGTTGTGCAAACATCTCCACCATCCATCTGCAGAACTGTTTCCATCCTCCCAGACTGGAACTCTGTACCCAAGCATAATGTCCTTAAGATCCATCAATGTCACAGAATCTATCAGTACTTCATTCCTTTTTATGGCCTAATAATATTGCATTGTGTGGATAGACCACATTTCGTTCATTGACTCATCAGTTGATGGACATATGGGTTGTCTCCACTTTGGGTTATTATGAGTAATGTTGCTATGAACATTCATGCACATTTGTTTTGTCCTTAAGATCCATCAATGTCACAGAATCTATCAGTACTTCATTCCTTTTTATGGCCTAATAATATTGCATTGTGTGGATAGACCACGTTTCGTTCATTGACTCATCAGTCGATGGACATATAGGTTGTCTCCACTTTGGGTTATTATGAGTAATGTTGCTATGAACATTCATGCACATTTGTTTGAACCTATTTTCAGTTCTATTGGGTTTATACCTAAGAGAGGAGTTGCTGTATCACATGGTGACTATTTAACTGAAGAATTGCCAGACTGATTTCCAAAGCAGCTGTACTATTTTATATTCCTGTCAGCAGTATATGAAGATTCCAATTTCTCCACATCCTTACCAGCACTTATTTCTCTCTTTTTGATTACAGCCATCCCAGTGGGTGTGAAGTGGTATCTCATTGTGGTTTTCCCTAATGACGAATGACGTTGAGCACCTTTTCTTGTGCTTATTGGCCATTTGTATGTCTTCTTTGGAGAAATGTCTGTTCAAATCCTTTGTCCCATTTTTTAATTGGGTTATTTACCTTTCTGTTGTTGAGTTGTATGAGTTCTTTCTATATTCTGGGTATGATTCCCTTATCAAATAAATGGTTTGCAAGTATTTTCTCCCATTCTATGGGTTGTCTTTCATTTTCTTGATATTGTCTTTCGAAGCACAAGATTTTATTTTGATGAAGTCCAATGTATTTCTCTTTTTGTTGCTTGTACATTTGGTACCATATCTAAGAAACTGCTGCTTAATCCAAGTTTGCACAGATTTATCCTTATGTTTTCTTCTTAGTGCTTCAGTTTTAACTCTAACATTTAGATTTTTAGTCTATTTTAATTTTTGTATATGTTATGAGATAGGTTCCAAACTCATTTTTTCATGTGGATACCCAGCCTGTATTTTTAAATCATGAGCAAGAATCACAGAGAATGGCCTTCCTTTGGTTTCCTGGTGGCATATTTTCAATAAATCTCCATTGAATTTTGCCAAGATGCACACAGGACTAGTTTTGAATTACTAGTTATTTGAAAATGACTTTTAACAAGTGAGAACTATTTCTTCATTCAATCCCACCAACAACTATCTATTGAGCATCTATTATGTGTCAGTGATTAAAACAGAGTCCTGCCCTCACCGAGCTTATGTTCCATTCTAGTGGAGAGGAAAAGGCAAGAAACATTAAAAAGTACATTAAATGATATACTAGAAGGTGGTAAATGCTATGGGTGGGTGGGGGACATCAGAGCAGAGCATGGAGGATGAGGCATGGTGGTGGTGTTTGCAATTTTGAAAAAGGTGGTCAGGTGGGCCTCCTTCAAGAGATGACATTTGAGCAAAAACTTGGGACTTGTGAAAGACTTGACCACATGGCTATCAGGGAAAGAGCATTTCAGGCAGAGGGAGCAACCATCACAAAGACCACAAGGCAAGAGCATGCCTAGCATTTCTGAGTAGTGGCAAGCCTGGTATGGCTGGAGCAGAGTGAGGTCACATAGGGTCTTGTAAACCATTTTAGGAACTTTAATTGTGAGGGAGCCGAGAAAAGCCACTGGGGAGTTCTGACCTGGCTTATGGTTCCAAGGATCACTCTGGCTGCTGGGTTGAAAATGGACTGTGGCAGGACAAGGATAAAGCAGGAAGGTGGTTAGGAGGTTCTGAAGTTAACCAGGTGAGAGAGGAGAGGGGCCGGGCCCTGAGTGGCAGTGGTGGAGGTGGTGAGAGGGATTTGGTAGAGCCCACAGGATGTCCTGGTCATTGGATGGGGGTGTGATAGATGCAGAAGTCAAAGGTGACTGCAGTGATTTCAACTTCCAAGTGAAGAGGTCAGGTAGGCACCTGGATATTTGAAAATGAGATGTTTGGGCTGGAAATACATATGTGAAGGAATCTGTCCCAAGAAAAAGATGGTAGACTGAGAACAGGGCCAAGGACTGCACCCTGGGACCCTCCAGCATCAAGAGGCCTGGAAGAGAAGAGGAAGAGCCACGGAGGCTGTTTTCATGCAGTCTTGCAGCTGCTTAAGAACATCTTCCTCCCTCCCTCGCTTTCTCCCTTCTCTTCCCTTCCTTTTTCTTTCTCCCTCCCTCCCTCTCATTTTCCTTCCTTTTAATGGGCACCTGCTATGTACCAGGAACTGGAACCAGATGTTTTGCCCTCTATAAACTCATGGTCTTATGTAGGAAAGACAGCAAATGCACACTTAAAAAATAATGTGGACACAAGGCAGTAACTGGAGCTTGGATTTTCAGTTATTAGCCAACTATACAAAATTACACTGTAGACATGTTTATAACCTAACACAAAAGAGTTTGGAATCTAAAATGGTCTCCCCTTTTCTCCCACGTTTATTACAATTATTATTGTGAGAGATTGACTTGATCGCATAAAATTAAATTTGTTCTTGTTTGAGGAAGAGAGAGAGGTAGTAGAGGATTAATCCACTGTCTTTCAAAGATGGACCTTTGCAAGGCAAGTCATGCTCAGTCAACAGTGCTGATCCACTGGGTGGGAGGCGAGTACCTATTTACCAGGAGAAGCTTTAATGTGCAGCCAGAGAGAAGAACCACTGAGCTAGGATTTTCATAAGTTATCCTAAAATTCACACGTCATACAATATGTTGTCAAAGTATGAAAATTTTAATCAGTTTTGGCTTATTCTTTTGGTAACAGACCTTAAGGAAATGATTTTAATTCAACTTTGCAAATAACTCACAGCTTAGTGTGTTCTTTGATGGAAGTAACACCCCTTAGTCTGCTCGGACTTCTATAACAAAACACCACAGATGGGGTGGCTTATAAGTAACACTTATCGCCCATAGTTCTGGAGGCTGGAAAGACCAAGATTAAGGTGCCAGCAGATTTGTGTCTGGTGAGGGCCTGCTTCGTCATAAATGGCACATCCTGCATCGCATACTAGAAGGGGTGAAGGAGCTCTCTGGGCCTCTTTTATAAGAGCATTAAACCCAATTCATGAGGGCTCCACCCCATGACCTAATCACCTCCCAAAGGCCCTACCTACTAATACCATCACCTTAGGGGTGAGGATTTCAACATATGAATTTTGGGGGGCCATAAGCACCCTCCCACCCATGCCATCCACAATTCAAAATGGAAACAATGACAATGTCTGACTTACTTGATGAACTTCGTAGTCTTGTCCAGCCACTCTTAAACACCCTCATGTTTTAAATTACCTACAGGTACCAGTAAACTCAATTTTTTTTTCCTCCTAATGATTCCTGTTACTTTATTAATAATTCATTCTTGTTGTTTTAGGAGAAAACTATGAGACTAGCCACTCTTAAACACCCTCATGTTTTAAATTACCTACAGGTACCAGTAAACTCAATTTTTTTTTCCTCTTAATGATTCCTGTTACTTTATTAATAATTCATTCTTGTTGTTTTAGGAGAAAACTATGAGACCAGACAAGGACCAGCTTCATTTGCTGTAATTTGAACAGACCTGGTGAACTGTCAGCCTTATGGCATAAGACAACACAGAAAACTTAACACTGGAGAGTTTTATTAATGACAACAACGAAACCCTTAATTCACATGATAATTGCACACTCCTTCTCTGCAAATGTCACTTGTTAAATTACTATCATCTTGTATACACAGGGATAAGTGGACATGCTTTAAAATCTTTCTGATAAAAATATTGCTGCGCTGCATCCGGCTTGGATAACTCTCTTCAAAATGGCATAAGCTGGAGCCTATTAAAAACAACAACAAGCAAACAAATGAAACACATTATATGTTCAGTTTTCGTTGTAAAATTCAGGGCTGGCAGGGCAGGGTTCAGACCTCTCTAGTTAAGAAATAAGATCTGAGAAAAAAAATTATTTTAATTTGGGAAAAAGCTATTCAAAAGATCAGAATGCCTCTGCTAATGCCAAAACATTGGAACCACCCAGTTTTTCACAAGAAGGGGAAAAGCAGCTCCTTGGGGAAAGGATGAGGGATGGAGAAAGAAATAAGACTCCCAATCTGGAGCAATGTGTTTGCTTGCTTTTTCTCAAAGCAATGTGGTTGGTTTTCTTCCCTGTGGCCATTACTTTATTTTTTAATTTTATTTTTTATTTTTATTATGAATATTCATGAGATACAAAGCTAATTGTCATACCTCCTGCCCATGATGTATTCCTACTGGCAGCATACCATTACCAGAAATTACTTCTGTACCCTGTGTCCCCACCCAATTATCCCCCAACCTCCCCCTCCCCCTACACTCCACTTTGTAGCCCATGGAATGTTCCCTCCCTCTGTAAGACCAATGCACTACTGTGGTCTTTCCTTCCTTCTTTCTCTCTTAGCTCCCACATATGAGTGAGCACATGCGGTATTTATCACTCTGTGCTTTGCTTATTTCACTCAACATAAGTTTCTCCAGGTTTATCCATGTTGTCGCAAATGGGAGTATTTCATTCTTTTTCATGGCAGACTAGTATTCCATGCTGTATAAATACCACAGTTTCCTTATCCAATCATCCATCGATGGACATTTAGGTTGGTTCCATGTCTTGGGGACCAGTGTTCTAGTCCTGAGCTGTGTGACCAGGGTATACGGCGTCACCTGTCCATGCCTCAATTTGCTCACCTTGAAAGTGAGATGTTGACTGAGATATCTAAGCGCCACCATCCCCCAACATTCTCTTATTTTCTTTCTTCCCAGTTGCAAATCTGCCCTGTATCCCTTGAGCAGTCCCCTTCTAGTAGAAGTCCAGTCAAGTACCTGAAGAAGTTCCTCATACTTGTCTGGGTCCTCTTCCATCAGCGTCCTGATCTGGTTGTTGTAGTGGTGTGCTATGGACTCTTCCACTGCCACAGTGCAGGCCATCGCGCCTTCCTTCCCAAGCAAGGCAGTTCCCGCCCCTGGAATTGTCAAACCCAGAGCAGTAAATATAGGACAGTACCACTGTAAAGGAGAACACTTTCAGTAAGAGTTTCTCAACCTTGGCAGCACTGACATTTGGGGCTGGGACATTCTTTGTGGTGGGGCCATGCTGTGCATTATAGGATATTTAACACAATCTCTGACCTCTACCAACTACATGCCAGTAGCACTCACTAAGATGTGACCACCAAAAATGTCTCTAGATATTGCCAAGTGTCCTCTAGGGGGCAAAGTTCCCCTGACTAAGAACCACTGTTTGAGGTGGTACCAGATCCCAGTGTTAAACCTCGAATTACATAGTAAGAAAGTTTTTCCCCTTTCAATGCTCTTTTCACCTTCGGATTATGGCCAAGAGAAAGTCTGCATTTGGAGTAATTATGACTTTTATCTTCTATAGCATTTACTCTTCTCCCTCTTTAAAGAGTGAGCAGATCTCAGGTTTAGAATCTTTGTCAGGGGAACAGTATCTTGATGAATTACACTAGTATTTTTCCTCTGTTGTGTTTATCTTTACTATACTTTCTATTTATAGAAGTACTGATTTTAAGATTCCATTTTAAGTAAATTTAAGCAAAAAAAAAAAGGCAATTTAACTTTATAAAAATGTTAAGTAAATATAAAAAGGTTGTAAGAGGACACAGCAACAACTGTGGAAGTAGGACCTGAACGATTTAATCATCCTAGATCCCTAAGCTTGCATAAGCTCTTCTGTACAGACACATACCCAGTGCAAACCCCAGCACGTTCCAAAAGGGCATCAAAATTGTCGGCCGGACCCGGAATCCAACCATCAACTCATTGAATTTTTTCAAATGAGCCTTTTCTTGATCCCACATTTTCTGTAAGAAACATAAAAATAAAGACGTGTAAGCATTCCACAGAGGCCTCCTCCTATGCAACGAGGAAGCTACATGGCCCACCCATGTGGTATACAGAAAGAAAAACAGGAGAACTGCTATCTCTCCTATTCTCCTCAAAACATAAATGAAAAAGTAAAACATCAGATTAAAGAGAATCCTTTACACAGAAAGTGCCAACAAACCAAAAGAAGAGTCTGTTATGTCGATTCTAGATAAGAATGCCACGGGCCATGATTCCAGCAGAAGTCCCTCAAACCCTCAATGTGTCTATTAAATGACTAGGGTCCAAACATATGAGAAATGAGACGTTTAACCCACTGCAAAATTAGGAGGGCAGAACATTAGCTACTGTGTAATTTCCTTTCACACTGCCAGAATCCAAGTACCATTTACATCCTAGGATAAAGGGAGAATGATCACAGTTAACATTCAGATGGCACTTCCTAAGAGCCAGGTGCCATCAAATGGCTTTACATTGGCAACTCATTCAATCCACACACTTGCCTTGTGAAGGACAAACTATTATTATCCCCATTACACAGATGAAGAAAGTGAGGCACGGAGAGGTTGAGTGACTTGCCCAAGGACTCAGAGCAGGCAATTTAACGTTTACTAACTTGTCTGTTAGATGCCAGGCAAGGTATCAGTTACTGTACACTAGGTCATTTATTCTTCATCCAAATCCAATGCAGCAGCATTATCAGGCCATTTTGCAGATATGGGAATGGAGACTCAGAGAGGTCAGGTGATTTCTTCAAGGTCACACAGGTAGGAGGTGGCAGAGAGCTGAATGTGAGCCCAGCTCTTTGTGACTACAAAGTCCTGGCCCTTCCACTGCCTCTCAGGATACAGTGTTGCCATCGGTGCTCTGTGGGGCAGGACTACAAGCTCTNTAGAAGTGTTCCCTTCTCTCCACACCCTCACCTCTGGCCAACACTTTAAAACTTATTTTTCTGGGAACAGTAATCTCCTACCCCTTCAACCTTCCAAATAAGGTGCTCCAAAGCATGACATGTAACAGTAGGTCCCTACAAGTAACAGGAGGTCTCTACAAGTAACAGGAGGTCCCTACCAATTCTGCGTCATGGTCAAGGCCTATGTCATGGTGCTCAAGTTCTTCATCTCGAAATTTCTTTATCACCTGGTTAAATGAAAAGAAATCAAAGTAAATCAGCATTCAAACTCTCCTTCTGTTCTGTCTTATTTTGGAAGCTAAAGCCTCATATTATAATCTAAGATGGGGGCAGGCAAACTTTTCCTATGAAGGGCCAGACACTAAACTGGCTTTGCAGGCTGTACAGTCTCTGTCGCAGC